GAGTAGTATCTCAGGCAATGGTGATGTGTGCCAGCTCCCCAGAAAAAGTGGAAATTCTGGCTCCCCCACCCGGGGCAGTACCTGGAGATAGAATCACTTTTGATGGTTTTCCTGGTAAGTAGGTATCTGGGAAAGTGGAGAAAATGGCTGACCACGGTGCTGAAGCAGATAAAATAGTATTTTAAAGCTGGTTGCATTTTTTTTGTTGCTGAAATTTTCTGGTTTAGTTATATTCAAACTATTTTATTATTAGCATACTAATACTGTACAAATAACGGGTTGCAAATAACGGATTGCAAACCTGAGGGGTTTGGTTTGGTTTCATTTTAATTTCTTTTAGCTAGAGACTAAGGTTTTTTTGCTACTTACCTTTTTGTCCAAGTAATTACCAACTTCTGGTCAGTTTGGTATCTCCTTGAAGGCAATCTAGCACTTCATAGTACTGTAATGAGGCGGGTAGAATCCTTGCTATGTCAGATGTCGTTTAATTTCAGTATTTGTAATTAAACATTTACATTCTGATCAAGTTATTTGAAAGCATAAAGGTTCAGTTTGAGTCCTTGAAATGAAAATTGAAAGGACAGCTGGGTCTTATTTTAGTTTGAAGTATGAAAGCCTCTGAGGCAACAGAAGCAGCAGCAGCAACAATAAAGCAACTCTAAAACATATGCAGCTGTCCATCAGGCAGCCTGGAGTCAAGTTATTTTTAAGCCTTCTTTTTCTACCATAAAAAAGTATTCATGAGATACAGGCTAATATTCCTTGGTCCTTTTAGTCAAAGTAAACACATGGTGTCTTGATTCAAAGCAATTGGATTTTTTTCTGCAGACTTGAGAGTTTTCCTAGAACTATCTTGAGTATCATAGGGAAATGATTTGGTAAGGAATGCCATTGTCTGAAGGAGTGTTCTTTTCTGTTTGTTTGATGTCGTTGCCCTTAAGTGGACTTGACACTGTTGTACACTCCAATACATGAATCTTCAAGATCTGTTGGACCTTTCGTTCTATTAAGAACTTCGTGAAATTTCTGTCCTCCTTCAGTGATCCAGTTTATGAGCCATTGAAAAATTATTCCATTATATGTCTGTAAATACTACACCCTCCCACACAGTAACTGCTGTAAGGCAGCAATAATTCTTGGAGATTTCACAGCTAACTGCCAAACCAAATCTACTTTCTAATAGTTTAACTGATAGTTTGACAAAACTCTTCAACGCAAAAATGCCACAGGACCCATATATCTGTTACTTATTTGTGTAATGAAGTAATGATTCTGGTCTAAGAAACCCTGGCAATTTAGTAATAATTATCTCTTTAAAAAAATAGAAAGTGCTAAAAGTGAAGTGCAGTGGTTAGTCTGTATTTAACAGGTTTCTTTAATTAAAGCTTTGGAGGACAGATGCTTTCCTTCAGTTGTATAGTTATAGCACACAGCAGCTAAGTGGTATTAATTTTTCATAAGGTCATGTACATCACCCAAGCTTTTTGCCCCTTCTTACACATTATTTCAGTAGTTATCGAGCTGTTACAAAGCAGAGAGGTTTCTTGTTTATTATGGGAAATTCTTTTGTAATATTTAAGCTGCCAAACTGAATTACATGCTTAACAAAATTTGGGACCTCTTACTTGTTTCTTTTTGTGTAAAGAGAGTGAGAAGCTTGTTAAGCCTGTACAAGTTATTTATTTATGGAAACCCTTCTAAAGAATATTTTCTGGGAAGAAAGAATGCAATGAGGAGAATTCATAGGCAAATGCACAGCCTAAAGCTCTGGTAATGTTTAAAATTGGTGCCTATGCTAATCTAATATGAGCTCACCACAGTTCCCAAGGGAGCTTGAGAGAGGATTCCAAAGAAACATCCAAAGCATGGTTTATATAATAAAAGTCAAGGGTTTTTTCTTACTAAAAAAATTTGCTTGCTTTTTATATTTAAGGAGGGGGAAAGAAATGCACAGATCATTTGACATTCTGTTTAATGGTTTTATTAGTTTGTATGCATTCACTTTAGTCTAAGTCCAAGTCTGTCTTTGCTTATGAACTTGAGCATTAAGCAGGATTTTTACTTTTGTTAAAATGCACAGTTACCTCTAAATGTTTAATTTACTAATGGTATTACTGATTTTTCTTTTAAATATTAAGTGCACTGTGGTTATGAAATAACTGCATTACTGAATTTTGCTCTAGCAAGGCTAGCCTACTTAACAGAGAAATCTGGCCTGCTCTACTTCTCTTACACAGTTACAGACATAGAAGTTACAGAACTTAGACCCCTCTACAGGCAGAAGTAACTTACTTTTGGAAGCATTGAGAATGAATAGATTGAACCATTGAAAATATCTGAAGGAGAAAAACAGTAAAACAGGAGGAATTAGAGTAGTTCATTTGACTGCCTGTTGGACATGCAGTCCAGAATACACCAAGCAATAATGAACCTCAAACAGCTACCAGAAACACATACGTTGAAGTCCCTGTAGCCTTATAGTTGGCTTGTGGTCATTAGAGATTCTTAAATAATTAGATTTGGTAATGTAGTTAGACTGTCGATGCCTCTAGGGGCTGTGTAGCTTACCTGGGTGTGTACACAGCAACAGGGAACTGAGACTTGCAGAGACTGAGGCCATAATTGCTGAAATACAAGCTCATTGCTAGTGCTGTTATTTTAAGCACCAGAACTTGATGTCAAATAGTACAAAAAGAAGTATGAGAACAGTGTTGAAACTCGGGGCTAAAATAATGCATCAGTATCCTAATTTTGGACTATTTTTGACTAAGTTCAATATTCCTCAACTGTAAGGGCACCTGCCAAATGCACTTAATAAATGTAAGATGTTGACAAACCTGTGTCAACGCAGGTGAGTAGTAATTTCTATGGTCCACATCTACTTAATTCTTAGGAGCCCTCTTGGTCTCTAGTAAATTGTGTAAATCAACAGCCAGCAATGATTTGATTTCTTCTTTTTGATAGTATTTGTAGTCTGTTACTTAAAACCTTTTTTCCCCCTGAAAAAGCAGCATTTTGAGACATGCTCTGGAGATATTTCCTAGAATATCCCTAGTTCCAGTTAAAAGTATTTGTTCTGGGAATTGTTGGTAATGTTTGGGGGTTCCCTCTGTCCCCCTTCCCCCCCCAAAAAAAAAATAAAATGTGTGTGGTAAAGTTATGTACACATCTGTGACATCCTGCATAAACAGATCTTTTGCTCTGCCTTCTGTGTTGTGTGCTATTAAGTTATTCTTTGTTTTGAAACAGGAGATCCTGAGAAGGAACTTAATCCCAAGAAGAAGATTTGGGAGCAAATCCAACCTGATCTTCATACCAATGACCAGTGTGTTGCTACATACAAAGGAGTTCCATTTGAAGTGAAAGGAAAAGGAGTCTGCAGGGCAGAGACCATGGCAAACAGCGGAATTAAATAAATAAATGGTTGTTAGAAACTTTTTTAGATGTTGAGATGAAAAGTAATGCAAGCACAATAAAAGACACGAAATGCATGGCTAATACCCTTTTTGTTTGACTGCTCTTCCAGAGGGCGCAGAATGTGTTATGCTTCCAACACTTTCACACTTCACACATTCACGGTGCTTACTGTCCCTGAGGTTAAGTGTTGTCGTTAACCACTCAGTGCTCAAGACTTCATTGGCAAGGCTTGTTCATGGTAGAACTACAGGTAGGCAAGCATATTTTCTGGACAGCTAAAAGGTTTAGATGATCTATGGAGCAAGAGCATCTCAATAAGGAAAAAATTTCTGCCATCTTCCTTGTGTGCTAACTGTTTTCCAAGAGGTCCAAGACTACCAGTTGGTCAGGAAAGACCATGATTGTCTTCATTCTTCTTGTTACCTTTTAATAGTTTTTCTCCTCTTTATATAAGCAGTTTTCACGTATATTATAAACTTCTGCAAATTTGTTCTTGGCTGTGTTGTCTCAGTAGTCTGCAGACAGTTGTAAGGGGAAGATTAAACCCTTTGTGCCCTAAATAGACAAATAGGTGTAATTTCTTGTCCCACAATCAAGTTACCATGTTAGTAAGATCAAAGCTGTCATTTTGCTGTAATAGTTATCTATCTATCTAGTCCATTTTTATATTTCCTTCCAAAAGAATGAAGTGCAGATAGACTGGATAGACCAGAGCTAGTCAAACACTATCATAAAAATACCTGATTCCAGTGCCCGGACAGGTATAAAATGAGTTGATTTTTTTTAGGTTTATTCTGTTTTAATGTGTTTTTATGCAGTGATATTTTATAAATATATGTATACGTATATGTATATAAAAATATTTATAAAACAGAAATAGCTTCTTCAGTTGTTGCTGTTAGAATTATTCCATAATAATGTAGTACAAGTAGTAATTGTTGCTGTGGTAATAGCCTCAAATTGCTTCTTTTAATTCCTGCCTTTTAATAATCTGAAAATAACTATTTTAGATCAATTTACAAGAAACTTTTGAAGTAACTGTTTAGAGGTAGTTCAGATACTTTGGCATATAATATTTAGTTAACTGCTTACTGTCTAACCACTGAAACAGTAAGTGCTTTTTTAACCACTGAAATAAAAAAAAATATAGCCACTCTGATTTTGTAGGCTTTGAACTTCATTCAGTAAACTGGTTGGTAAAACAAAGTGACACTAACATAAAATTAAAAGGAACAGGCACAAAAGAAGAGATGAATGGTTTTATTTTTCAAATGAGTTTTGTATGTGCCTGTAAACTATTAGTTTTTCATGCATTGGGGAGTAAGCAAGAGTATTGGTTCTTTTAAATGTGCTGAGTAGTATTAAACACATAGGAGCTATTTTATCTGCTGTGTAAACTACATAGCCAGTAATGTCTTATTAAACAAACTTCTTTGGAGTTCAGAATCTCAATTCTAACTAGTTCTTACTCAGGGTAAAGAAGTACTTTTACAGTAGGTAAAACTTATCATTTAATACTTGAAAGCTCTTCACAACCTTTGGAATTCAGAGAAACTCCTGAAAACTTGAAGAAGCAGTCTGAATTCATGTTCATTTTTAACTTCTATTTTCCAGATCAGTGTTCTGTAAGAGCTGCGGTATATAGTTTGGTGGAGAATAAAATCTGATTTGTGACTACATATATATTAGGACTGTGATTTAGAGCACTAGCTTGCTTGAATTTTTCCTTTGAAGCTACAGTTGTGGATGCACTAGTGTGAAGTACTCTGAAGGACAAGTAGTTTGGTAATCTAAGGAGCCATCTCCAACTGTTCAGAGGTATTTTGTATGGGTGTGGACTTTTCCAGTTCCAGCACTCTTTTATTAAATATTACCTGCTATAGCAAATAGACAAATGAGCACCTGAAAGCTAATTTTATGCTTTGTTATGTTTAAGTGGAAGCATTTGATAATTATTTTGTTTTATAAAATTCAAGAGCTTTCTTAAGACAGTAGCTCTTTCCTCTTTAATTATGCTCTTATGGTTGTCTAGGAAGATGTATTTATGCTGTACTGAGCTCAAAAGTGACAACAGGGTACTTGAGGCACTGTGCAAGTATGCTTCCTCGTTGAATCCAGCCTCTTCTGCCTTGTCTGCATGAGTAAGTAGAACTGCAGTGAAATCATTCCATGTGGGACCCAGAAGTTCCTGTAATAAAAAACAAATACTAAATAGTTATCTTTCCTTGTTCGTCTTCCCCGCTGCCACCTCATATACTTAGGCATTAACAGACCAGCTACATGTTCTTTTCCTGGCAGTAATCCAGTTCATGCTATCTGAGTTGCTGAAATTTTTGGGGTTTTTCACCTTCCCAAGACATTGACATCCATTTTAAGTGGAAATATGTTTTGTGCAGTGCTAGCAGTTCTTTGTTCTCTTGCTACAGATGTGAATAGTATTTCTCCAGTTAAAAAATGGCTATGTAAATAAGGAAAAATGGTTGTTTAGCTGTGTCACACATTTGTTTAAATCATTGGTTTCCTCATATCCGTATTTCTACAGTTTTTACAGATAATTGAAATTTGGGTTTCAAAATCACCAAATTACCTTGTGTTGAAAAATAAATGATGAATTTATACATAGGACCAACTGCAGTTCCAGCTGTATCCTGTAGAATTGAACTGTTCTCAGCAATTCAGGATGATCACAAATCAAATGCATCAAATGCAGTCTGAGCGACAGGCCGGAGAATTTGTCTGTAACCACTGTGGTTCATCTGATGGAGGGGAATGGAGAAAACAAGCTGCTTTTTGCAATGAGTATAGAAAATTTTAATGGAAATAAGTGCTCAGGCTTTCATTTGCAGATGTAAATTAAATTACAACTTCAGTGCAATCACGCTAATGCCCATGTATGACAAGAAACCTACTTGGAATAAAGTCCACTTTGCAAAGTCTTAACTGTAGCCTAAATACCAAGGTGTATAAAACTTTTAAAGTATACCTTTGTACTGCCAGGGTAAGCAGGGAATTAGAAAAAACTGTCTATTGATAGTGATTAATCTGCTTTAGACACTAGGGTAAAAAAAAATTGTACCCACACAAATTTTTGGCATAAGCTGTCTAAGCCCATGTCACTTTTGGAGAGAAAGGATAGTGCCTTGATTTGCTGAGGACTCACACTCAATGCTAATGTTCTGAAGTCAGTATCCACCACTCTGAATTCTTTAGGCTATATTCACTGATACGCCGTCTCTGATTTGCAGAGGAACGTTGTGAAAATTCCTGATTGCTGAAGGTAGTCTTCACACTAATGTCTTTTTAGAATGACATACTGAAACATAACCAATAAAAGTACAGAATTCCTATTCCCAACATCTGGGCAGCTGCCTTGCCCTGGTTGTGGCTGAGGAAATCACAACATCTGGTCTGCTAAGTGGAAAGTAACTAAAAAGCTGACCATTATATATGCTGAGAGCGAGCTGTAATCATGAAACAGAAGTGTTGCTTCATTTTTAAACATGCTTTCTTTCCAGTATGGGTTTTAAGGGTCCATTTAAAGAGAAAAGGCATTAGTGGCATCTCTTATGCTTTTGATGCCCACATGGACTTGATCCAGAACAGTCTGAAACTAAGGAACGTGATGATTTTTCATTTGCTTAGAGTAAAAATAGTTTGAGTAAATGCTGCTCTTTAATACCATGAAGTATAGAGAGATGGAGAACTGTATAAGGGAACAGAGTAACAGTGAAAACAAGTATATATAAACAGACAATGAGTAAGAGTGTTGAAATTAGAACCAACTCTTAAACTACTGGAAAAGTGAGGAGTAGCCTACCAATAAAGAGTAATCAGAAAGTAACAGAAGAGCAAATCAAACAAAACACTTGAAAGCTGTTTTTCTATCTATATATGTATATGTTGGTATATTTTTAACTACATATATATGTTATAGATGTATTTAGGTAATACCAGTTACAGCAGGTGATAAGACTTGATGAACCAGGAAGTCCTTCCCATCCTGAAGATGTTTATAAAGTTCATTAGTGTAAGACAGATGCAAAGCATAATGTGACTTTGGCAACAACTGAAACCCTGTGTTGTCATTAATAGTCCAAAAGTAGTTCATCTGATCAGACAGATAAACTGAGCAGTATCTGTTTGTTGGCATCTTTTTCCTTTTATGAATAAATTTATGGTAACTTCCTAGTTGTTTTGTCTTACAGATACAGCAGTAGTGACAGTACAGGACAGAGCTGAGCATCCTTGTGTCAAGTCAGTCAGATTTTCTGTAGGATTTTGGACCTGTTGCTCCATTTTGTCTACTCAGAGTGCAGGAGGGTGAGGTAACCTGATTTTTGCTTGCTTTAAAAGCTTTTCAGTCAGCTAGAATGTTTACGATAAAATTTTAACTGATTACTGAGAGAAAAGCTTTCTTTGAAAAGTAAATGTTGTTCCTAAACTCCTTTGGGCTGAGCCCATGCACAAGGGAGAACAGTTTTGGCTATTTCCAGATTTAGTGTGGTAAGTGTAGCTGTGGTGTTGGGAGTTGCGAATGCTGTGTTTCATGAAATGTTTTCAGCTGCACTTCTGTATTTCACTTTTGCAGTCAACTCTTTCATAGCTATTGCCACCTGAATACAGGAGTTGCCATTAGGGCAGAGACTATTTATTTGTTACCTGGATGAACTGAATTGTATGATAGTTTTCATCCGGACACAGAGGCAAGTCAGCCCTCAGGACCAAGAGAGCGAGATGCAGGCCTTCCTCCCCGAAGTGGTGAGCCAGGGCTGAGCTCACTCTGTCTCTCACCTCCTCTTTGCTCAGACTACTGTGAGGGTAGCCTGGAGTGTCAAGTACTCGAACACGGAGAGCTAGCTCACTGCCATTTCTTCGTATAATTCCCAAAATACAGCAGCTGCGTCCAAGGCTGCAGCATGTAGTCACAGATCTTGGAGAGCAATAATTCTTAAAGTCTGAGCTGCCCAGCAAGCTGTTCCCAGCAGCACTTTTACCACTCTGAGTTCTTCCAAGGACAACAAGGTTGATGGTCATCTCGTTGTTGCCTGCCATTTTCTGTGCTTTTATCCCCAAACCTGTCATTAGGTGAAGAACAAATAACATGAGCTGTTTCAGATCTAGCAAAAAATTGCAAAATTCAGTATCTTTTGAGTGTCATGTCCTGCTTGAAATGTTTTAAGGAGTGTGTGGTGTAGCTAGACGTGAAGTACAGCACGTATACCTCTGATCCAAGGACAGTTCTTTGCTGCCCTTCTTAGTCTGCTTCTTAGAAATAAGACCCCATAGAAGGTGTCATAGATACAAGAGCAACCTAACAGGCTGCGCTCATACACTTGCAGAAACTGAAGAGCTGCGAAAGAACTGGGTGTGGGAAGTGTTTGCGGAACAAGTAAAGCAGATAAAGCTAAGGAAGAGCAACAGGGAATGAAGAACTTGGGAAACAACCATGGAAAACAGGATCAGCATGCAGAGAGAGTTGGTAATGAAAAGGAGGAAAGCTAGGGGAGGAAGAAGGGAATGGTGATAAATATCTGCTGCTGTTGTTAAGTGACCATGTTTCAAGAAGTAAATCTTTACTTAGTTTTTAGGAAAAAAAAATGGAGAGTCAAGGAAGGAGCACTTTTTGACAGCAGAGAACAACTTAGAGTACGTATTTGATCAGCTACTACTAAATTTGACATAGATGGTAATCTGAAAGTGCTTTCTGATGTAGATAAATGTTAGAAGTATGTCCTAATGAAAAAAAAAGAAAGAAAAGCTGAACTAGCCAATGCTGCAGGTTCTAACCCCACGTGAAATCAAGACTTTGCAAGTGTATACTGTACAGACTTCTAGACTTACGGTGCAGTTAGTGGAAAAGAAAAGCATAGACTGGTGAATGGGGATGAGTGATGGGTATAATTTCCAGTTACCGTAATTGTTCATAAATACATCCTCTTGTTCTCTTTGTACTTTTTTTTTGTAATCCAGTATCTGAAGGGGTTTTGGTGCACAGTAATTGTCTAACAGGAATACTGGCTGATTAAATAAATTCAGAGGCGTTTCCAATATGGAAAACTATTGGCAAAGAAGTAGTTGGTTTCAAGTTGTCAGTGGCACCTGAACTTGAGAAAGTTTGGTTTTTTTGTTGGTGGTTTATTGTTTTGTTGTGGCGTTTGTTGTTTGTGGTTTGGTTTTGGGTTTTTTTAACATACCATGTTTAGGTGCTCAAAGAGATCCTGAATAATTTTAGAATGGGATTTCCTGTGATTAGTTTATTTAGATTCTTGCACATGCAGTTCCAGCTTTCTCCCTCATATTAAACCCGTGCCCAAGTCAATCTTTTTGAAATAACCAGTACAAAGCCAAACATGAAAGACCTGTTAACATACTAATTTTGTAACATTACAATCTTCCCTACTGAATTCAAGTGAGGTTTTTGTGGATTTTTCAATGATCAATTTACCTTTTTTTTTTTTTTTTTTAAGAATACCTTTTAAAAAAGACACATTATGAAATGGTTGTCATCAGTTATTCATCAGTCTGGATATGCATTGTATTCTTTTTCTGTATCATAGTAATGTGATATGGTGGTCATGCATGTTTTGTATTCCTTTTTTAAATCACAGAATCATAGAATCATCATCCAGGTTGGAAAAGATCTTTAAGATCATCAAGTCCAACCATTCCCCATCACTGCCAAAGCCACCACTAACCCATGACACTGACGGCCTCATCTGAACAGTGTGTGAACACTTCCAGGGACTGTATCTTCACCACTGCTCTGGCCAGCCTGTTCCAATGCCTGAGCATCCTCTGGGGAAGGAATTGTGCCTCATCTCCATCTAAACCTTCCCTGGTGCATTTTGAGGCCATTTCCTCTTGTCCTGTCCCTTGTTCCTTGGGAGCAGAGACCAGCCCCCTCCTGGCTCCATCCTCCTGTGATCAAGGATTTCTTTTTTTTTTTTTCCAGTAAGCAGTCTATACTTAAATAATGACATTAATTTCATATTATATCACTTACCTTATTTTCCCTTAAATTCCTTTTTCATTCAGACTTCACGAACCATGTGTGCAGTGTAAAAAGAAGTTCATATGTGAACTTTGAAACTAACAGCAGCGATGTACCATGCTGAGACTGTTACGTACACATTAACCTGGTTAATCTGTTACTAATAGATCTCCATTTAATAGGTTTGGTCAGTAATTGGCAATGAATTTTTGCAACTTAGCTGCAGATGCATTTTTTGCAATCACTTTAGTGATCGTATGAATTTGTTTGGTTTGTTTGTTTGTTTTGGGGTTTTTTTTTTGAAAGTTACTTGAGTTCTACCAGCAGTTAAGTGTGACAGTGGTAATGGAGGGTCAGGGATTATTTTGTGTTGCATGTTCTTGAATGGGTGTTCATATATGCATGTGAAGAGCAGATGAACTTTCTCTTATAATTGCAATGAATTAATGATTGCAATATTTTCAAAGTACCGTGTAAAGCATATGCAGATGTAAAGCTGTTTGCCTAACAAACATGGATTAAAATAATAAAAAATGGATTAAAATGCAGAAATTATGTGTGAAATCTGGAAGAAAACTCAAGACTTGCACCACTGCCAGTCATACGTGTTAGCTGTTGGTTTGCTAGCTTGAAACATTTGTTAGGGGTTTTGGTCTAGATGATCTCAAAGTCCTTTCCAACCCAAACCATTCTGTGATTCCATGATTTCTCTTGCAAGCATAATTCTTTGCCATGCTATAGTAGCATTAAAACAAGGGATAAAAAGATTGTCCAGTAAGAACCTATCACTTGCACTTTAGACAATTTTGCACAAGGGGGAAAGTCATTGATTTAACCTTCTATGCCTTATGAAGAAATTAATATAAATTTGTGCATTAATTACCAGGTTGTAGCAATAAAATGAAAGATTGTCTGTTCAGAAGGAAGGGTTTAGATAAGCCCGCTCTCTGGCTCTAAATCCCAGATGGATGGAAGCACATGTTTACTCCAGAGGTATGTGTCATTACAGTAAGAACAGGAATCTGGTACAAGGCTGTCTGTGGTGGGAGGAAAAAAGGAAGGTGCTTTTGAGAGCCCAGTCCAGCTGGTGACATTTTCATCCAAAATGTAGTTCTATGTGGGAACCTGTAAATACTGGTTTACTGCAATGCCAGGGCTGTTCCTGCCTGCTACAGCAGTGGAGAGAGACATCAATTCCTCTAGAAGCTTGTTGTCTTCCACTGTGGTACCACAAGCACAGCTAGTGCTTTAGCAGAACATAGGAGTTAATGTTGCCTTCACATCCTCCTCGTGTAAATTTGCATCATTCATCATGAAAGAATTCATCAGTTTTGTTACTTGGCTCCAGATGGATGTGTAATAATTTTGTTGGTTGGTGTTTTTGAAGAGTACGTAGACAAGTTAGTTGTTTTCATACAGTTTCCTGCTCTTGAGCTTCACCCGGTGAGAGGTGAAACATTAAATCATTTCCTGTATTGCATGTGTAGCCAAGGCAACTACTGATAATTTCCACTGTGAAAAGGCTTGTGGCTCAATCCTGTGCACAGCCTTTGTGCATCAAGCCTATATTTATATATAAAGTATATAGCAAGGTTCCTTCATTTGCTAATGGATACAAACCCAAAGAAGTCTGAATGGAGGGTGACTTGCAAAGCAAAATGATAGGTCTTCCTCATAAAACTGTAGATAAAATCCACAAGCTTTCTTTAATTTGCCTAGAAGTCTTGATTTTGGTTAAATTGTCACAGTTTGGCTCTGTACTTTTTGTTGGACTGTTCCTATGCACAGTAATGCCTTCTATGATATCTGAAGCAGAGGTATGTCCTAGTAGTCACATCCAACTGAGCCAGTGGCCTGCCAAGGGGATAATTCGAGCTGTGCCTGGACAAGGATTTAGACTACCAAGAAAGGTAGAATCCCAGAAGCAGAGTGTTATATGCAAAATATAGCTTGCTCAGTTTCATGCAGAACAGAGCTTTTATGCTAAGAAAGATGGCTGTAAAATAAAGAGTACTGGAAATGAGGCACTGCTTAAATGATGGCTATAACATAGCTAAGCACACTTCTCCACAGAAAAAGGCATTTCTTTAGACCATTATTATGAATGTAATACAGTCCCAGTTGGAGTGCATCTGGAAGATCTTACAGCAGCACGGGCAGAAGATTTTAAGAAGCCTTTCTTGGGAGTATATGACAAGGAAAAAAACAAACTGATTTATAGGACACTTGCTTAGGCTCCTCAATGTACGTGGAGTCTTCCCCAAGGTGGCAGTATCAGCCTGCACCACAGGTACTGTAAAACTCAGCTGGGGGCCCCCTGCTCTGGAGTCCGCTGCTGAAATACAATACCAGGTCAGAAATGAGCTAAAGCATTAGAAAATATAGAATAATTAAGGAGTCTTCAAGTGTGCCTTGAAATAAGAAATGTAAAAACCATTTGTTTCTCCTTTGTCACAAGAAACATTTTTTGATCTATAAAACGCAGACAGCGTAGCACCTCAACCAATTTGAGCAAGAGTAGTGGAAAGGTAGCAGGTAAGAAACTGGAAATGTTACTGTCCCTTATTTGATTATTTTTCTAATCTAAACCTTTGTTTTCATTGGCTTTTGAGTGGGGGATATTTATTATGGGGCTTTGGGTATGAGATCATAAAATCTACTCTCAGAGCATGAATTTGTAAAGAACAAATACAGGGTTCAAGATTGCCTTGGATGATTTTTAGCAGTGCTCAGTGCCATTGGGTAAGCTTTTAATTTTGTTTTCTTTGTTTTGTATAACTTTATTATTGAAGTGGCAAAGAGAAAACCAAAACTGAGCTTATTACAGATTGACAGGTAGGAAAGCTTCCTGTAACTGATAAAGAAAGCCTTGTACTGCTCCCATAGAAATACCAAGCAAGTCTAGTGAGGAATTGTCAAGAATCTAAGGAAGTAGGCCCCCTGAAAATAAGCAGCGTGTGTACCCAGCTTCTTTAGTTGCCTTTGAAAAACTAAAGCTAAAATCATTTGCAAGTGCTTGTTGTATTTGTGTTTATCTACAGAGTTAACTACAATTGCAATGCATCTTAGTCACATTACTGTGTCAGCTGCTGTTCTGTTGTAGTCCCTGTGATCACCCAGCTGGTTTGCATGCACCCTAAACAAGCTGTCTGTGATGCTTGTTAGGGTATACCAAGCAGGCTAGATCTTGTAAACTGAAACAGCATAGTTTCTCCTTAGGCACATGTCGTGTCTTACCATGTGTCATCTTTCAGTTCCCACGCCTTCTCATCCCTTACAGCTTCTTTCCTGATGTGGGCTCTCATTTTAGTTCAAGATGATGCCATAATAAGTAATTTAAGATGTGCTTTGATGAATTTCTGTTACTTAGAGAAAACCCAGTGAGGCCATTTTATGGATTGCCACACACAGAGGAAGGCTCTTAGCCTTCCCAAATAACATGAGAAATCCAGAAAGGTATGCAGTCCATGTAGTCAGTGTGGCTTCATTCTGTTAGATGTGTCATTTCTAAAACACATAAAGCACATCACTGATGAGTGATAGGACAGACAGATCTGCTGATGCTCTACTCCTTTTGGACTGCGTTCACGACAAAAGTGTCTGTGGTGATCCTAAAGGAGCACACACACAAAATACACTAATGCTTTCTTAAAACAGACCTTTTTTTTCCCCCTTCCCTTTGCTTAAGCCAGTCCCCAGCATCCTTAGTATTTTTTAACAAAAGCAAGCACTTACCAGCAATCTACAAGACTGTTTCTCTTTGCAGTATAGACAGCGGTGTAGCTTATGTGAGACTACATTGGCATTGTTAAGGGGAAGGCAGGTGGGGTATAGCTCCAGGCTAATGCTTCAGTTGCATCAGCTGTCAGACAACTGGTCTGCTGGTACAATTGTGGAATCAGCTCCCTAGTCTCCCAATGTACTTCTTACACTGATACTGCTGGCAGAAAGGCAGAACAAGGACCCACCTTGTGTTTAAAAGAAGATTGAGCAGGACTATCAGCATAGTGATATATCAGTCAGACATCCTCCTCCTCCCTCCCTCCCCCCATTCACTCACTGAATCATCCAGATCCACAAGATATCCTTTTCCTTCATCCTCTGCAAATAATAGGCAACTTCATCCTCAAAACCAGCATCAGTACATCCTGATCTGGTAAGTCTGCTGTGGAAGTATTGTGTCTCTTCAGTTGGCACAAATGTTATTCTTCGAAGCATTCTGCTTCAGAGTGCACTAAGAACAGAGCACTGTAATAAGCCAAAAGAGCACTGTTTTTTCTTGTTTCCTGTTAATATGGTTTGGGGTGACCTGGCTTTTCAAAATGCTGGGGCATGCATTGTAAAATAGAGCACATCACACTTACTGTCACAGCTTGCCAGTTTCTTAATTCCCTTACTAATTCAAACATTCTCCAATTTAACTAATGATTTTCCCACATAATTTTGGGGGGCTTTTTTTTTTTTAGTATGTAAAGAATGTTTTTAATATATTGTGCTATATTGTCTCTTGAGCAGATTAGAGACATTGAAACTATCTTGTGTTTATCCATGTTGCCAAGATATGTTATTGATAATATAGCGGTTGGGCATAAGTCACTAATGTGCAGGTTTAGCCATAGCGCTGTGCTTCAAGTCTGACATGTTTGTGTCTGTTCACAGCTCCATGTGAAATATGCAAAATATTCAAAGAAATAAAGCTGATATTGCAAGTAAGACCATACATACATAAATAACATTACCCCCGCCCCAGCATCCCACCTCTCCCACCCTGAAATCATGAACTTGATTTCAAAGGCATGTATTTTGGAAAGAAACAATAATCAGAAACTATGAAAATACAGACTTAAGGGAGAACCCTTTTTCCTTTATATATACTTAGCTGGATGAACTCTGTGACTGACCCAATACTCATTCACCTTCTTCTGATTAGCCTCAAAATTCATCCATGTGTGTAAAAATATTTTGCATCTGGGGCAAAAGTCCTGTGAATGGCAAACATACCTGGAAGTTCAGGAAACCTAGATCTGGCTGCTGTTTCTGTAACACTCATTCCCTTATTCTGAGAAGCTGCACGATTTCTCAGCTTCCTCATCTAAATAGTATGGGGAGTATTCACCTCTTTTGAAGATGTGTAGTAAGATTGATTTAACTGAAGGGAACAGATTTCTGAGGGGCAATAACAGCATTGATTGCATTTTAGAAAAAGCATTTTTATCATATTGGAGATTGCTCTATAGAGACCTAAATGACGTAAAGATCACTTTCCAAAAACATTCCCACA